GTCTTGCCCCTCAAAATGCAGGAAATAGCATTTCAGAGGGTCTAGATTTCAAAATTTTCGGTGCGAGAGATGGTGAGCAGATCTCGCCCCCATACAAAATCGTTTGTCGTCGCATCTGAATAATGGGCACTGCACAGCAATATACCAAATAATATATTATAAATAAGTTTGCTATGCATAAAACTATTTCTGTGTCATTGGAAAGAGAATGGAGAATATTTCCATTATTTGTAGGATACAATTTAAAAAAAACTAAAATGTATCATTAACTTTTCAATTATAAATCAATTATAAAAAACATGAAAGTATTTTCACACTGGCAGTATTAGCTGATTCTAATAACGTCAAATTGATTTAAATTACACATATCTTGTTTTTTGATAAGATTTAAATATGAATTTAAATGTGTAAGTGACATAAGCATTATTGGCATCAATGCAACACCGAGACCAGGTAGAGGCTGAAACGATCGTCAGCTAAAAGTTTCATGGGGTGGGACTGTCCCCGGACACGTACTATGTTACCATGCCGTGGAAGGTAATTTTACAAAACTTACCTGCAATACAAGATTGTTAGACACGATACGTAGATGCCAGTGTCAAAAAACAAGACATGAAAAAAGTTTGGTGTTTTGTTGTCACTGTTTTCGGTCGTCACAGAATCAAGGCCACCAAAAACAACAACAGAAATGTTGAGGTCAGCTGCACATGCAAATTTCGCGCATAAATTCTTTGACCTCGATTTGGATATAACAACGCCCTCTAAAACGTCCAGAACGGCCGTCCGGTTTACGGCCGTCGGGCCACAGCACTAATTGTTCCAAATTTTAATAGCCAACATTCAGAATGACTGCTCAGTGTAATTATTGTTGGCAAAGTCAGTTACAAATAACAGTGGTATTGATTTTTTTCCTCTTTAAAATGCAAGCATAGAAGTGTCTGTAATATGGCTGTATAAAGCACAGTCCCTCTATAGAGACAATAATTGTATAAAGACAATGTCTAGATGTTCATTTTTGTTTAGGAGATACAAGCGATGTTTAGTCGTTCTTGAATATTAGTGTTCTTGAGTTCGTGAATAAGCAATCATAAATAGTTCATGTGTGTGGGTTATGTTATAAAAGACAATATACTACTATAGCACTATTACCATCTTCCCATCCCCCGTTTTTTGCCTGGGCCTATTAGCAACAAAGTCAAGGGCCGTTTTTGGTCCCAGTCCGTGCCTGGTTACAGTGCAGTAACTGTTTTTCCTCCTATAAACTTTATTTAATGTCAAAGAAAATGAAATTTGGATAAGTAGACCAATACCAGTGAACGTGCAATAACATGATAAATTTGACGTAAGACGGATTTTAACAGTATCTGGCAATGTAGCAATGTATTCTAAGATTTCCGCATATTGGTCAAATAATAAAAAAGGCGGAATTCGTCCTATTGGGGCTACGGAGGAAAATACTAGTAGTTCTATAATTTCGGCGTGTATCAGATTCGATAAGCTGAAGTATGTGCTGAAATTCTTAGATGACACAGAGCTTGTCTTAATTTTTAGCATTTATTGTAATACTAGTTCAGCTCAAGGTGATGTTCATGTTAGAGATAAGTTTTAGAAATAAATTTAGATTTGCCTGCCAAGTTAAATTTAGTTTTCTTGGTCAATAAACAGCGTTGCTTAAACTGGTTTAAGAGCAATATAGAACAACCCACTTCTTGGATGAACCATGGAGGTATATAGGAAATAGTAATATTTTGACATAATATTAAATTCAAGATTCAAACGATAATTGGCAGGTATTGGCATATTGCTGTACATTGATGTATATTCAGGTAAAGGTATACCTTTAATAACAAAGCGACGAAATTTCATGCCTACGGTTTCATTTATGTGTTCTTCTTTGTGAAATCCTCAAATCTCACTACCATGCAAAGTTACTAAATGTTACTAAGCATGCAGCTACAAAATGAAGTCTTGGTTGCATGATTGACTTAGTCCATAAACCTTTTAACTAGACAGTATTATACTGAGATACTTGTAAAATAAAACAGCATTTTTTTTTTCACTAAGCAAACAATTTTAATATAACTTGAGTCTGTCGCCATGCCTAAATACGACAATTTTAGGTTTGCCAGGGTTAACTTTTAACCTTAGCATAATTGCTCAGATTGTTTGGAAAACATCGCGCGTAAACCCACCACGGCTGAGTTGAAGAGTACCAGATTGTCAGCAAAAATCAGATAAAACAACCCCACATCGCTCTATATGAACCCCTGCATAAACAAAGTGAAGAGAAGTGGTGATAGTATACTACCCTGTTGAACACATAATTCGCATCTGAAAAAAATCTGTGATTCTAATAACATGTGATCGAATACGTGGTTTTGTGTCTGTCTTTCAAGCCTGTCTTTGAAGGAGAAGCAAATAATTGTTACGAAAATAAAAAAAATATCAACTGTGGCGTATTTCTTTCTAAAACCAGCTTGTCATTCCATCAGAAGGCAATGCAATGCAACACAAGTCAATTCAATCAATGGTATATATATAGTTGACAAAGGGTTAATTAATGCCCCTGCAATTCAATGGTGTCAACTCCCGTCTGAATGTTTCAACTTTGATTTATACCTTTAGACATTGTTTTGTAAAACGAATCAATCAGTCCCCGTGCCCATTGATAGGGATACGACCCTCTTGTAAAAGTTGATTTAAAAAAATAATTGACGCTTGAGAGTCGTAAGTGTGAACTTGCGCCCTCTATACGCGTACTACGCGAATCGGCGCGTAGTAGCAAGCCAGAAAGTTGTGTTGTTCAGCATTGCTGGGAGGTTTTCTCAAGTTATTTCACATTGTTACCTTACGTTACTTCAAAATTTTGCAGCGACACAAATTTTGAATCTAACACAAACGGCTGTATCTGTATAGCAATAAGCAATCTCTTCGCAAAATAAAACAAGATCTATATACTTTCGTTAAACTGTATTGCCACTTCAATCTGAACATGGCGTTATAACATAATTTCCCCCAAAAAGCAATGTCTTTACAAAAAATTTAAATATTATTCTCGCATCGTCTCGCGGTATAATATTCTGTTATTTCATGCTGGTCGAACATATATCAAAAAGAACTTATTGAAAAAACATGCTTTCCAATATACAGTGGCGTGTTTGCCAATTACTGAATATATGCATTACTCAACAGACGTTGGTGTTATATTATTCGACACAATATAATAACAATAATGTTCACAATCCCAACCTTTTTTTTTTATTAAAGTTATTGAGTTGTTTCTAATTTGATACAAAATTACAATCTGTTTTTCCTAAAATATGTCTATAACATAAGCTGAAATTTGGCAAACGCGAAGGAACTTTAAGAAATATTAACTCAATTCAGTACTTGTACAATTCAAGTTGCTGAACTACATAATATAAATCGAATCAACAGTTTGGCGACAAATAGAAGCCACAGAGGACTTGGAATGTTTAAGGTCGAAGCTTTGTGAATTGTAACTTAATGAAATACAATACAATACAACACATACATGGATGTATATATAGGCTTCACTCCATTAATTTCTTCTTCTAAAACATGTTTTGGGAGACCATGCTGTTTCACATTCACTAAACCAACGATTAAGTATACAATTTAATAATCTATATATATATATATACAACATTTTACAAAAATAATATGCATTGTATAGATTACATTGTAACAATTTGTATCAACGAAATATTGTGAGCGTAATTATAAAATACACTCTAATTGAGCGGAGATTTAAAGTTATTTGCGACAATTCGACTTTTAATTTTGGACGCAAATCTACTAAATTTACATTCTGATAAAAAAAAGTATAATACACTATATACAACTTCGTACGGTAAAAC